GAGACATTGATACATATACACTTATACATATGTTACATATGTATATACATTGCAAATATATATATATATAGACCCTTCCCTCCGCTTGGGCCCCCGCAGGAAGTTCTGCATGAATTGGGACTGGTCCATCGCCAGCAGCTGCCTGCGATTGTCAGCTGCGGGTGACGAGCTGGCGGAAACCAACCCAACCAGCTGATGTTGACCCCGGAATAAATAAACCCCTGTTTATTCATATGGGGGTGTCTCTGGTTTTTAGCTGGGATTTATCACTTTTGGAGGGGAACACCCCCGTAATAAACAGAGGTTTATTAATCCGGGGTCAACATTAAAGCCTTTAGTTGCAAAGACTTCAGCTTTTAGTGGGTTAAATGGAAGCCCAACCACTCAACCGACTAAAAACCACTCATCCAAGGACTGGGAACCACCAAGATCCGGGGTGTAGGTACGCTACGCAGGGTGGGTAGTTGAGAGACCGTTCCTTCGGGTTCTCGAAATAAAGGGTTAAGCCGTCCGAACCTTGACTCTGGACCAAAGGCAAACCCAAGGTTGAAATGTTGATGCGCGGTAATGGAAAATGTGGGTAGTGGGCAAGCTGACTCTCAACTTGCCGTAGATATCTTCATGTGACAAACGATCAGTACTAGTGAGTAGCAATCAGATCGCACCCATTTTGGATATATTCAACCAAAAGGGTGGGCCGTCCATGAGTGCCAAACGGGGTCCCACCAGCCCCAACAACGGAACACCGCCGATTTGGCACACCCACAACCTCACTCTGAGGTGCCCTGCAAGATAGGCCCTCGCCCGGTGTTACCGATGTCGAGCATGTCCTGCCGACCGAGGCGCGCAGACCGAGGCGCGTGAGAAATGAGACGCATCGGTGAGGGACCTGTCTGAATATCTGCTGGCAAACATACCCAGCATGTGGCTACTTCACGCGCTGACCATAAGCACATGCTGACACCAGCCTGCATAGATCGATTGATTCCACTAAGACCGATTTTAGTTCTCTGCAGCACCCCACTGAAAATACATAGAACCCAAAAACAGCGAAAGGAACACCAAATACCAAGACCTGTGCAGATAGTCCCTACATACAAATCATAGTCTGCCATGGGCTCCATCCATTTCATAAACCACTTGGGTCGTTCCCGTCGTGGCCCTGATGGACGGGTGAGGCTTGCCCTTGCTATTCACTGATAATGTAAAGCTCCGATTGGTGAGTGCCCAGCAATTACTCTTTCTTCCCCTGGCAGAGATGCATTGCTCCTGCGTCTCCCATTTGCCGGGGTGGCGGAATTCATCGTAGGTTGACATGGCTCGGGCAAAAGCAGCTTGTTCCATGTCAATTTGTCCATGTTTACGCCAATCTTAGCAGACTTGTTTACATGTGTTGGATCACTGCTCAACCGGACAGGTCATTCGAGGGGGACGCAAGTATGGGTGGAAAACACGTGGAGACCCGACACTAGCCACTTGAGTGCCCCATGGTCGAAGCTCCAGTCCATCGGAAGTCCCACGGCTGAACAGAATTGCTGGTGCTTTGTGCTTGGGGAAGTAGCTTCCATGGCTTTGGACCAGTTGAGATGGAAACCCCATGCATAGTGAGATGAGTCAACCACGAATCCCACCACGGAGTGAATTTGTCCATCAGAGCGAATCAGATCCAGAAAAGGACCTTCTTAGTGAGCTCGTCGGTGGAATCGCTTGCCATATATACCGACTTGAAAAAAATGCGAGAATACAGCATTACTGGTTGACGCCTACAATCGTGGCCCTCTTTGCCCCATTCTTACCAAGAACCCAACTCTGTTCAGCTCCTGCAACCAGAAGCAAATGGGTGCGTAGATGGCCGCGCCACCCACCAGTGCCTTCGACGGGAGGTTTAAAAAAAAGCAAACAATCATTGGGTGTCTTGTTGACGGTACCCGTTTTCGGATGGTTTTCAAGGGAAGCGGAAGGAAAGCCACCCATCTTAAGGGTCTCCAACCCACTTCACCCGAGTTGTGAACGGTTCCGAAGAAGGAACATGGGGCTCACCAGGAATTCCATTGGGCAAAAACTGCTCCCATGTCCACGGAACAACAAGGGCAATGGCTTAATTCTTGATTCCGTGAATCTCGTGATTCATTCAGTCTGCTTTTGCGGTTTGGTTTCCAGGATCGCAAAAGAGACCACCTAGAAAAATCGGTGAATCATTCTGAGATGTCCGGGTGACCCACGACAAAATAATTTACATGGGGAAAATTGGGCCCCGGCTTTGTGGAAGATTTGGTTTGTCCCCCATGTCCTCCCCAAACCAACGGCAGATTAACAATTGTGTCACTTGCTCGCGCATGTCACTATGACCCCTAGTTTATTGCAGTATCAATTTATGGTTCTTGGCTTTAGGGGGAAATCAGCCAAGGGGGCAACTTAGCCCCGAGATCTAAACCCAGGCCGTGAAATTGACTCCAAAATTTCCAGGCGGGTGCGCGGTTGATTTCCCACTACGGCTCTGCGAGGACTTGGACCAAGAGGCCGCTCTCGACCCTAACTGACCAAACAGGGGCTCAAATCATCTTAGTGGAAAACTGTGAAGGGATCGCCAAGATGCCTTCGTCATGAGTTTGTGCTAGACCCAGCACACTGACATAATACGGAGCTGCGATTTGTTGGGCTGCACCCATACAGCTAACATGGAACAAAAGCTGAGTCCCACAAAAGGAGACTCATCTAAAATGATGCCTTGTTGGGTGCCATAGCTCAACCCTTCCGAGGAAAGGTTCCTTCAGAAATCTTAGGGTTCTGATCGGGATCTCGAACGCTTGGGCCCGTTGACGGGCGTCCTCCCTCAAAATGGGGAGGGGACCCTCAACCAAATGGTATTCCCCAACAAACCCAGGGAACATGACCATCACCGATCAATCAGGAGCAACCAACGATTCGGACTCTGGAGCCACCCGTATACATTTTCGACGCCGGTTCTTGACGTCGCTATGAAGTCTATCGGTTGCCAAACCCACCACCCGAATCGACCCAATCAACCCAATCAACCCAATCAACCCAATCAACCCAATCAACCCAATCAACCCAATCAACCAATCAACCACCAACCAACCCACCAAACCCCCGGCCAACCATCCATCCAAGCCACCCAATCCCCCCGCGGCCAAGAAATTACCGATGCTTTCCAAGGAGCGCCCACTGTGGGCAGCACTACACGGAGAATAGTTTGGATGGTCAGCGCGTCGTCGAAGCCTCGGGACAGCGCAGTTCGAAGCTTCCAGGGGTCCAGGCCACCTGCTGCTTAGTAGGGAATACTGGACTGACTCTTCGGCAATTGCTTGATTGCTTGCTTGCTTGGTTGGTTGGTTGGATTGGCTTGGGAATCTTTCATGTCCACATTATCTAAGGACTAGCAAGATGATTATTCGCAACTGTTTGACAAAGGCTTGTCCTAGTTGGGTTTGACCCTCTTGAGAGACAGCACAACAGCACCATCTTTGCCGGGTCGCAAATGGGACTTCCGGTCCGATGTTTGACTTTTGCTTCGGGTTCCGACAAAAGCTGTAAAGGGTTCCCTTTGACACTATTGGGAACCCAGGATAACCCCTGTTTGAGTGAACCCTTCACTTTAACGCACCCAAAGAAAATCCACCAGGTTCATTTATTCGGGGTCGACATTTGTAGGGAAAAACAAACCACCGCCTCTAGGTGGGTGTATCAAAACAGAAATCCCCGTGAAAAGTGATTGGTTTCCTTCTATCTTGCCTTGAGAACAGCGCAAAAAGGGTACCCTCCAAAAAGAAACAGCTATGTAGCTTCATGATGATCACATTGTAAGAACCCAATCCGAACGTTCAGTGGCACAGCACCGCGACGAAGGTTGCCTCTGATGGGTGATCTTAGGGCAGTTGCCAAGACTGAATGCCCACATCGTATCAATTCATATGGGCATGTTTCATGGGATTATTCATATATTTGTTTGCCTCAAAATAGGAGGACCCCCCAAAATGTGTCATGTTCCTTTTGGTGTTCCTCTCAGCCAACCCCGAAAAGGGTACCCATGGTACCCTCAAAAAGCAAGAGAGAAAGAGAGAAAGAGAGAAAGAGAGAAAGAGAGAAAGAGAGAAAGAGAGAAAGAGAGAAAGAGAGAAAGAGAGAAAGAGAGAAAGAGAGAAAGAGAGAAAGAGAGAAAGAGAGAAAGAGAGAAAGAGAGAAGGTGCGAACGAGAGAAAGAGAGAAAGAGGGCAAGAGAGAAAGAGAGAAAGAGCAAAAGAGAGAAAGAGAGAAGGAGAGAAGGAGAGAAAGAGAGAAAGAGGGCAAGAGAGAAAGAGAGAAAGAGAGAAAGAGCAAAAGAGAGAAAGAGAGAAAGACAGAAAGAGAGCAGGCATTTGCAGGGTTTGGCGAAACACACACAGGGGTCCCTCTATTCATCTTTTTCGGATCTTCAACAGTAGCATGTTCAAAGGACCCACAAACGACTTGCAAAGTTTGAATCGGACATCTAGTGACCCCTGAAGAGCATCATTTTTCAGTGGCATCTTTATTATTAGATATGCTCATGACTTGGGACCCCCTCCCTTCCTTCCGGGAAAGGAAAGGCGGGCCAACGTGACAGGGTCAAAAGCAGTGCAGGTGTGTCTGAGAAGGTGCTGCTGGTCTGTAATGTGGAGTGTTCTCTCTTTCTCTCTTTCTCTCTTTCTCTCTTTCTCTCTTTCTCTCTTTCTCTCTTTCTCTCTTTCTCTCTTTCTCTCTTTCTCTCTTTCTCTCTTTCTCTTTTCTCTCTTTCTCTCTTTCTCTCTTTCTCTCTTTCTCTCTTTCTCTCTTTCTCTCTTTCTCTCTTCTCTCTTTCTCTCTTTCTCTCTTTCTCTCTTTCTCTCTTTCTCTCTTTCTCTCTTTCTCTCTTTCTCTCTTTCTCTCTTTCTCTCTTTCTCTCTTTCTCTCTTTCTCTCTTTCTCTCTTTCTCTCTTTCTCTCTTTCTCTCTCTCTCTTGCTTTCTCTCTTTCTCTCTTTCTCTCTTTCTCTCTTTCTCTCTTTCTCTCTTTCTCTCTTTCTCTCTTTCTCTCTTTCTCTCTTTCTCTCTTTCTCTCTCTGTCTTTCTCTTTCAAGACTGTCCCCAAAAGCATGAACATGACCAGCGGCTAGCTTAACTAATCCTGGAACCCATTGTTGCTTCGCATGACCGTGCCCGTACCCACAAATGGAAACCAGTACTACAGATTGCCCACTTCATTTTGCACGCCGTGTTGGTTCAACCTCAAGTTCCACCTACGCAAAAATAAAATAGAAAAGAAGCTGGTGTCTACGCCAAGATGGGCTCAAACCTGGGGCCATTATGTTCCCTCATCAAAACCAATTCCAATAAGTGGGAGACGGCTCCCAATCTGGACATTGAAACGGGACTCGCATAATTTGCCCACCCATGTTCAACCCCATCATTCAGATGGTGTCAGCCAAAAAAAGAAATGGCCAAAAGGCAATCCAAGACTACTACATTGAACCACCTGAAGAAGCATGGTTTGAGCTAGTTGCTGTACGTATGTAGGCAGGTATGCATGTATGCATGCATGTATGTATGCATGTATGTATGCATGTATGTTGTGTATGTCTGTGCGTATGTTTGTACTCTTGCATGTGTGTATGTTTGTTTGTGTATGTGTGTGAATGTCTGTATGGTTGCATGTGTGTGTGTATCTTTCTATGTTTGTATGTGTACATGTTAATATGCTTGTATGTGTGTCTCTTTCTATATCTGTATGAGTATGATTGAATATGTCTGTCTGTATGCAGGTATGTGCCTCCAAATGTAAGTACGTAGGTATGTATTTAGGTATGTAGGTCTGTGGGTATGTAGGTCTGTGTGTGTGTGTATGTGTGTATGCGTGTATGTTTCTATGTTTGTATGTGTGTATGTATGTATATAGGTATGTCTGCATGCTTGCATGGTTGTGTGTCTTCATGTATGTAATTCACGTATGTATGTACGTTGTGCGTACGTACGTAAGTATGTACATATGTATTTAGGTATGTATGTATGTAGGTACCTAGGTATGTAGGTATGTAGGTAGGTAGGCAGGTAGGTAGGTATGTGTGTGTGTCTATGTTTGTATGTTTGTATGCTTCAATGTATGTCTGTATGCATGTCCCTATGTGCGCATGTACGTACATAGGTATGCATGCATGCATGCATGCATGCATGCATGCATGCATGTATGTATGTATGTATGTATGTATGTATGTATGTATGTATGTATGTATGTATGTATGTATGTATGTATGTATGTATATATGTATGTATGTATGTATGTATTTATGTATGTATGTATGTATGTATGTAGGTAGGTAGGTAGGTAGGTATGTATGTATGTATGTATGTACCTAGGCACGTATATATGCATGTATCTATCTATCTATCTATCTATCTATCTGTCTGTCTGTCTGTCTGTCCGTCTGTCTGTCTATCTATCTATCTATCTAACTCTCTATCTATGTATGTATGCATGTATGCATGCATGTATGTATGTATGTATGGTTGTATGTTTGTATGTGTGCATGTTTGTATCTTTGTATGTTTGTATGTGTGTATGTTTGTATGTATGTTTGTATGTTTGTATGTTTGTACGGTTGTATGGTTGTATGTTTGTATGTATCTCGGTCTGTCGGTCTGTCAGTCTGTCAGTCTGTCAGCCTGTCAGTCTGTCAGTCTGTCTGTCTGCCTGTCTGCCTGTCTGTACGTACGTATGTATGTCTGTATGTATGTATCCATCTATGGAATGATAAAACAATAGTAACAGTAATGACGATGATCATCATGATAAGGATAGTGACAACTATAATCATATTAGTGATACTAATACAGATAGCAGCAAAAAATACAAGTAAGAAATATCAACATTAATAATGATTATATTTTTTAAGGAGACCCAGGAGAATAGCAGTTCCCTCCGGCCCCCACCCCAGTCGTGCATCCAACGATCACTTCCCCAAAATGATTGTCCAAGCTTCGCCAGCCATCCACGCCTGAGCGAAAGTTTTCCATGGAAGCCCACGATCGGAGGATGTTGGAAGAAAGCTGTCCTTTTGGGGACAGGGTTCCATTTGTTGATTTCCCCCAGGCAGACATGAACCCAAAGGTTGATGTGTTCAAAGGGAAACCTCTGTGTTTAAGCCTACCTTTGGCCTTTGGGTAGTCACAAAATCCATATCTGTTGGAAGCCCCCATCCTTTGGTTGTTTTTGGTCCCAAGGGCCACTGGGGGTTTGGGACGGGTTTGGACAGGGTTGTTCCAGCAATCTCCTTTTGGTTTGCTTTAAAGGGGACAGAGTATGTTCAAGAGAAGCGCTCTATTGAACGAGCAGTGCAAGGGGGAGCGGGCGCACCGTCCCTACAAACCAGAAATTTGAATTCGCGGCTAAGTTGGTCGCTCGCGTGAACATGTCAAGTCATTTGGGTGCACATATTTGATTCGCACACCGGTACCAAGTCCAGCACCCAAACCCGACTCTTGAAACCAAGCTTCGAGAAGCTTCTACACGCGGGTGTTTGCTCTCTCTTTTTTTAGAGAAATTCGGCGAGTGAGGCTTTACATCTGCTGATGTGACATAACTTGTAAGTCTGCCCATTTAACCTCCGGTCCGCTGACATGGAACCGAGACGGAATCATTCAACCTCCAAAGGCACTCCATCACATTCCGCCTTGTGGGAAATAGCGCCCATGGTTGGTGGAAACAGGGTTCAACATCGGAATCTGTTTCTGCAAAAAACACTTGCAATCAGTGGGTGTAAGATCGGGGAAAAAGACTTTTGAGGCTCACCATTTGAGTGAACCCAACAAAAACACCTCAAGAAATAGAGCCAGGCGGATCACCAACAGCCCCACGGCTGGAACCCTCCCCGGAAGCTGCCCCAAACCACTCCGGAGCCTATCTGGGCAGAGAGCCCATAACTTCAGCTGGGGAAACAACGCAAAAGGGTGCTATTGAACAGCTGGGACAAAGAGAGCGGCCAAGGGAAAGCAAAGCGTGCGGAAACCCCAGCTTCCGATCAAGTGGCTTGGCCAGAAAAAGCTCGGCCCAACTTGTTGTTTGTCACAAACCAATGGTCCAAACCCAAAAAGCAGGTCCAACTCCGGAAGCGAGCCCAACTTAAAAAGAAGCTAATGGAAAGCACACTCCGTTAGGTGTTTGTGGATAAATAGAATCCACTGGAACGAACCTGAAACTCGAAGCCGCCTCTCAACCAAACATGACCCAACAGCCATGGTTCCCATGGTTGGACGGCGCGTTCGCTCGCGAAACGGAATGAGCCGGCGGGCCAAAATATGCGCAGGGAGGCCAGTTCACCAGCGGACGATTTCTGCTTGGTTTCCTCTTTGTTTTCCTAGCAGCCATCCAGCGGCTTGAGTTCAAGCCATTTTGAGACACACCATGTGGAGTTGGGGGGGGGGCTGCTGGAACCACGTGCTTGACCCCCTAGTGATGCCGCGACCTGCTTGTTGGATGTCTGCAAAGAGAAACAGGCACCGAAAGTACACCACTTTCGCAAACTCCCCGCACCTTGCTTCCTCCCTTCCTCCACCCCACTCAACTCCACAACACCAAAACCAAGGCAAGGCCTGAAAAATCCCAATCTGGCCGGGCGAATGCTGGGACTCAGGGGCTTAACCCCTTGAGTCGGTCCCTTTCAGGGGCTCGAGATGGCCAAGGCCCCTGTTCTGCGCTAGTGACGCGGAGTGAGTCCGCGCGCTTTGCCACAAGGGAGTCGTTGGCTTCATGGAAAAAGAGGCGCAACCTGTCAATGGTTGATAACCATGGCCACACCACATGGCCATAAGCTTTCTTCAAAATTGAACCACCTTTCAGATGGGAATTCCTCATTCTTTGCAGGCATCCTTCTTTCCAAAAACCCACCAAAAGCTCAGAAAGCCCCAACACCATACTAAATCGTAAGCTCAGAAGGGACCGCCCCTGGACTCGTGTGTTAAATTTGGGGTACTGCAAGAAAAGGCTGATCTTTTGCTTTCCCTTCCTAAGAAGGGCATCGAGCCAAAAAAGACGAGCCAGGGAAACCGCCCGAAGCCCGTACCCAGGCGCTGCCGACGTTGCGGCGCCGGCGCCCGTCAGGCACCAGAGAGGGCCAGGTGGGGCCCTCCGGGCCCCAGTCGGCGGCCCAGGTGCCTGGGGGGGTCTTCGGACGCGTCTCAAGGGGGGTCTTCGGACCGACCTTGTTGTGGGTAGAGGGAAACTGAAAGAAGACCACCCACTTTTGTTGGGGGTGTTCCAAGCAATGTTGAGAAACACCATGGGCTAAGCCCTACACTCCGTGCATTATTGCTTGACTCAGTTCGACCTCCCAAAGGCACCTAGCACTTGGGGCAAACCCATTCATCTTTGCAATCCAGTAGACTCAAGAACAGCAAACCAGCCCCTCACTAGCAACATAAACGGGACAACTAGTTGTCCACGTCCAGCGTATGCCCCGGAAAACATGTGCAGGACTTCTAGTGGTTGACTTCCTGTTGGTGTCCCTCCCAAAGCCGTCGATTTCTGGGGGTCCGAGGAAACACGCGCCGCTCACGGCTGTTGAGCCATCCATGGCAGAGCCACACTCTTCATCCCTCACCTGGCGCATGAGAGGTGAACGCCTTGGAGCGCGCTGTTGCCCTGTGCCTTTCCCTTGCTCGCTTCCGACCGAATGGATTGACCAAAAAAGGTCCGAACTTTTTATTTGCCACTCAATTGGTCTTCCTAAAAAAAAAGTTTGAGGTCCAGGAACTCTGCAAGTGAGGAGTTGCTATTGGGCTAATTGTCATGTTTTATTACTCAACAAAAAGAGATACCTATCATGAGTCCTTCCTTTGCTTTCAGCAATCCCGACCGCCCGCCAGACTCCACTTCGCTCCCTTCCCGACTCGGGCCCCACCTTCGCTCCAGGCACGGGAGACCCGCAAGACCCTGGCAATGGCTCGGATCCGCGCCCAGAGAAAAAAAAACATTGCCTTGCGGTTCCTTTGTCGGTACGGATTTGTATGGATGCGTCGGTGGCTTTTTTGAGGGGAACCCCCCAAAAAATACACACACACACACACACACACGCGCGCGCGCACAACATGTGTTCCTCTTAGTTTCCCCTTAATACCGACCAAAAGGGAGTTCCCCGAGAAAAAAAGGACGACACACCCATGTAGGCCTTAGCCCCAAGCGTTGTTCCCGAGATTCTCCCGGAGAAATCTGAGCCGCGACAAAGTCCCGTTGCAACGCACCAAGTGTTCATCCCAACCCAAAGCCATCTGTCAAAGGGTTGGGTTACAGGAAATTCTACAGGAAACAGCTTGTTCAGAGTGTTTCGGGGCCGTTTCCTGTAGATTTTCCTGTAAGTTAACCTTTGAATCTGTCCAATCGTGGGTCAGAGCCAGGTGAGATTGCTGAGTTGGTTCTGGAAACTGCGTTTTGGATGTCAATCATTCCTCAGTGTCGACTCAGTGTTGTAAATATGAGCCCCGAGTTTATTGCTACTGCATACCAGTAATTTGAGTGCAAATGTCACACTAAATCAAACCTGAAAAAAAGTACATCATGATGAGCTTGTTGTGAGCTAGCCAAAAACCAAGCAGCGGGTTATATTGCCGCAGGGGGAGGCAGTTGGGGGTCTGCCTGATGTTCAACCTACTTAATGTCAAGTAGGTGGGTTTAACCATGGTTCTCACTCAAGCTCCGCAATCACCAGCCGAAACCATGGTGACGACCTACTTTCATCGCAATCCATGTTGTTTGGGGGATGTGCGGAAGGCTCTGATTTCAATTCCGTTGCCCTCGATCCTCCCCTCCGGGAGGATCGTTTTACAGTGGGGGGGGTCATTCAACTCAACCCAACAGAGGGGGTAGAAAGCCGATCAAAGCTTGATACAAGTTTATTTTTTCCCCCGAAGGCTTGCGAACTCACCTTCCTTTTTGGCTTGACTTTGCTTACCCATATTTAGGTGTTTCCAGCTGTTTGCCTCGTTCTAGTTTCTCTCATGGTCCCCTTCCACCAGCAACCCAACTTTTTTAGGGGCCTCAGTCTGGCCCAGGTTGGTCGGGGCAAACCGCACCCAGTTTTGAAGTTACAGGGCAAAACGTGTTTTCTGCCTCGCTGAGACCGCTTCGATAAGCGGGGGTGGGGGGGTTTGTTGTTCGACGAAAACGCGGAACAACAAGACCCCCCCCCCCCCCCGCGCCCCCGGCGAACAACAACAAGTCCCCCCTCTCACTTGTTGTTCGACCCCCTCCCCCCCCAACAACAAGCCCCCCCCCCCACTTGTTGTTCGCCCCCCGCCCCCAAACAAGAACCCCCCCCAACTTGTTGTTCGACCCCTGCCCTCAGACAACCACCTTGTTGTTCAACTCCCCCACCCCCCCAACAACAAGTCCCCCCCACTTTGTTGTTCGACCCCCCCCCCCCCCCAAACAACAAGTCCCCCCCCCACTTGTTATGCGAGCCCCCCCCCCCCCCCGAACGACAAGTCTCCGTTCAGCTGGCTGGCCTTTTCGGTTGCAAAAGATGGACAAGCCAAAGCGGCCAAGAAAGCTTCGCTTTGAAGCGAAAGGCCCCGAAACTTTTGAGGGGGGATTCAGACTCTGCCTTCTGAACGCCCACTTGGAGGGCGCCGCCGGAACAACAAGTCCCCCCCTCCCCCACTTGTTGTTCAACCCCCCCCCCGGCGAACAACAACCAGCCCCCCACTTGTTGTTCGACCCCCCCCCCCCCAAACAACAAGTCCCCCCCCCCCCACGTGTTGTTCGACCCCCCCGTTCCGGGAACAACAAGTCCCCCCCCCTTGTTCCCCAGAACAAGAAGTCCTCTCCCGCCCACTTGTTGCTCGACCCCCCCAGCGAACAATTGCTCGACCCCCCCCCCAGCGAAACAACAACAAGTCCCCCCCCCCCACTTGTTGTTCGACCCCCCAGGAACAACAAGTCCCCCCCCCCCCCCCCTCCCCCGCACTTGTTGTTGTTCAAACACCCCCCCGGAATCAAGAAGTCCTCTCCCCCCCCCGCCCTTGTGTGACCCCCGGAACCCCCCTCTCCCACTTGTTATTCGAGCCCCCCCCCCGCGAACAACAAGTTGGCTCCTCCACTTGTTGTTCGACCCCCCCCCCCAGAACAACAACCCCCCCCACTTGTTATGCCCCCCCCCCCGAACAACAACTCCCCCCCTCCCCCCCACTTGTTATTCGAGCCCCACCCCCCCGAACAACAAACCCCCCCACCCCTTATCGAAGGGGTATGGCCTCGCTGGGGAAAAAAACCTCTCGCATGTGGGTAATGCCCCAGACCTTGCGAAACCGGAACAAAACAGCAATTTAAATACTTTTCAACCACAAAACCATAATCGAACTCTGGGAAGTTGGGCAAGATGAGTAAAAAACAATCAAACAATCGAACTGTTCAACAGAATATGGGAAGTTGGGTCTCAAATCTGGGGGGGTCCTTCCCAACTTCCCATAATTTGGGAGTGGGCCAACCCAAACACAACATGCTTAAACCACCATTGGTTCAACCTCCTTTTGGTCCCTTTGCAGCGAGCATGGTTCCCAGTCGGGAATCAACGGCAGGAGTTTTGGACCTTCCTTGCTTCCTTGCTTCCTTTCTTTGCTTCCTTGCTTCCCTGGCTTCCCTTTCCCTTGCTTCCCTTTCCCTTGCTTCCTTGCTTCCTTGCTTCCTTGGTTCCTTGGCTCCTTGCTTCATTGCTTCATTGCTTCCTTCCTTGCTTCCTTCCTTGCTTCCTTCCTTCCTTGTTTCCTTCCTTCCTTCCTTCCTTCCTTTCTTCCTTCCTTCCTTCCTTCCTGCCTTCCTTCCTTCCTCCCTGGCTTGCTCACTCGCTCGCTCGCTCGCTCGCTTGCTTGCTCGCTCGCTGGCTGGCTGGCTGGCTTGCTTGCTTGCTTGCTTTACTTTGTTCTTAATGGGGAATATGAGCCACGCTGAAAACTGCTTGTTCCTGGTTCCTTTTGAAAATTGAAAATTTGAAAATTGAAAATTCTCCTCGGCCCCGAGGGGGCCAAGGGCGCTCAGATCTCGTTTCCCGAAGAGAATCTTCGCTTTTCCCCTTCCCCACTTTCTGCGGCCCACCCGGGCTGGGCCTTGCTTGGATTGGTTGGTGGAGGGCCTGGGCTGGGCGGCGGTTGCTGGTTGGGCTGGGCCTGGGTGGGCCCAAGGCTAGTCTCAGACACGCGCTAACTCAAACCTGCCCGGGCCTGGTCTCAGACACGTCAGACAGGCCTTTCGGGAGCAATTTTTTTGGTGAGCTTCGGGACAAACGTGGGCCCATGGGGCTTGACGCCGACGAGCCCCGAAAATGTCAAGGCCCGCTGGACGGCATCTTAGGGCCAGCAAACATTGGGGCGGAGCCCGCCCTGTCTGCTGGCTCCATGACTCACTCCTGGTCCTGTGCATCGCCTTGCCTTGCCTCGCGGATTCCTGCGGGCCCATGACATCAATTGGTGCAACGACGCTAGAACCTGTCCATGCCTGAATCGCCACTTGACCAGCTCTGCTGCTTGCACTCGAACCACAGACGCTGCGCGCTCGGCTGGGCCGAGGCGGGCAACGCGCAGCGTTTACAATTAAAGCTCCTTCAAGCTCTTCGTCCCTCCCGAAAGGACCATAGACAGGGGTCCCTTGTGTTTCCCTTTGAACATCACCTCAAATAGAAACTCACTTTTTGCCATCGGCAACCAAAAGCTGATGTTTAAAGCCGCAAGGGGAATGGATCTCTCCTTTCTGGTGTGCCCCCCCAAAAAAAAATAAAAAAGAAAAAAAGCGGATGTCCTGGTGTTTTCCCTTTAAGACCACCGAAAAAAGGGTACCCTTAAAACAAAGTACCCCAGGTAAACTTCACACCTATGGGAATGAACCTCTCGACGCCGCCGGCTTGGCTCCAAGATTTCGCCAGGTGCACTGACTCTCTTCTTCCAGTTGGAGGTTGCGCTGGTCCTGACGCAACGAAACCCAAAACCCTACGTGTTCAAGGAAAATTTGAGTGGCATGCATTTTTGGAAACTCTCTTGAGAGGTTGGTCCATTGGTTAAGTGAAACCAAAAAGAAGATACAACCAAAACCCAGGTGTTTCCGAGGGTCTTCGAAAGCTACAATAGAACCCTGTTGCAGGCTGATTCTGAGAACCTGTCAGAAAATGGATACACATGCAGGTTTCATAGCATGCCTCCTCTGGTTTGCCTCGAGTTGTTTTTTAGGTGGCAAAAGGAGTGCGGAGTGCCCCGTTACGCGAAGCCTTTGACTTCCATGGCCTTGCTTCCATTCTCCAAAGGTCTTTGTACTGTTTCTTCGTTTGAAAGCGCCATGGCCACTCCTAGCGATCGATTCTTGCGGCGCAACCAACAAAAGGAACGGCGAAGCAAAAGCAAAATAAAAACCACCCACGCAAGAAAGCACGGCCGCGAGCTCCCCAGCAAGCCAACCAAACAAGCAAGCAGAAAACACGCACTGAACAAGCAAACCATGAACAGAACAAAACAAAGAGGCCGGCCGCGGTAGACAGTTCTGTCTCGGGCTTAACTCGAGGGCTACTCGAGCAGGTACGTCCACCGTGCCCTTGATGTTGCCCTCGATGCCTGGGTCAGCAGCTTGACCACTTGCGGCAGGAGTTCAGCCCAGCATCCCATCTGTGGATCCTTCTCCTTCGAGATCACTGAGGAAGCCTTCACGTATCCACCAGGTCTGGTTCAGCTGGTAGCGCGTCCACTGAACCACGTGCAGCCTTGGTCTAGAAGTGGCAAGAGCCGCATGTTGGTCGCGCAGTGCTTGAAGCACTCGGATGAGTGGCTACCTCTCGCTACAAGTTAGCTGCACGTCTGAGCCTTTCAAGGGATCTGTTGTCCCTCGTGCCTGGCGTGCCCACAGAGCGGTTTGCCAAACATCGAATTCCGGTCGAAATCCCTCCCCGAAATAGACAACACGAGACCAATAGCAGAGAGGGTCGCCACGTTCCCAGATGTTCCGGCTTCAGGCTCCTCAAGTCTCGGGGTTGAATCTTAACAACACACCAAAACATCAGACGTCTACCCCTTCTTACACTAGGGTGGAACAGGTTCCCCCCCTCTGTGGTCGAATTTCAAGGGATTTTCCTGCGGGAACTTCCCTTATTTGGCTGGTTGTATTTCAGGTTCACCCCACCCAACTTGAACAGGAAGCCACTGGTTGCAACAACTTCGAGGTGCTTTGACCGTCATATTGCCATGTGATGGGTTGATTGCTGAGCTTACCAACAACCCCGAAGCAAATGCTGGGCTGGTCAAATCCATTCATCATGTATTGGGAAACCACGCAACCTCAAAGGACCCTTGTAGCTCCAGGGGCCAACAATCTCCAAAGCCCCGTTTGTTTGAAACATGAGCTGCTTTGAAAGCGGTGCGCGCAGGTGAGCAAGAATGTCCAACTTGTTTTCTGGCTTTGGTGTAAATTGTGTCCACGGCGAAGTAGTCAAACATGCCAGCTGTCAAAGTGGCCACGAGACTGGCTGCCCAAGAATCCAACCCACGCCAAGCATCAAGAGCCTGAGGTTCTGTAAACGAAAGCACGCGCTATGTTTCAACAGGCCGCAGGACTTCGCTGAACACATTACACCAGAGGCCTCAAACAGCAAAGAGCGCTCATACGGGCAAGCCATCAACCCAGCTGTCTGAAACACACTAGGGTCGCCAACCAGAATCACTGGCATATCTGGCATCATCAACATCCCCAGCATCATCCTCGCACTGTACGATCCTTCCAAAACCTGGAATGTGAATTGGATTGCCAGGTAAAGGGTCTACAGGGGTTCGCTCGTTCTCCGAATCAGTCAGCTCGAAACCCTCAGGGGACCCAGGCAATTGCCCCAACCTTTTGTGTTTGACCAGCTCCGGAATCACCCAACAGGCCCCCAAAACGCCACTAGGTCCTCCAGTAGAGAGCTTAGAATAAGGGTACCTGGACCCTCAATCACCCTTCGTTTTTGGGGTGGTGCTGTGTTGCATTCATGTTTGGGGTGTTTTGTCATTTTTTGGGGTGTTAGTTCCATGTTTGGGTGTTTTCGTTTTTCCATGCGCTGCTTTGTCAACCCTGCAATTTCGCTAGCGGTGTGTTTAACTTGTTTGAATTAACAACGTTGTTGTTCACTGCGCAGGGCTTGTTGAAAGATACAAGTGCCAAGTCAAGCAGCGGCGCGGACCTTGCTGTCACCCAATGTCAAACCTCCAGGTTCAGCTCAGCTGCGCAATGCCTTTCATATTAACATGGAAGAAATCATCAAACATAATTTGACCTTGGCCCAAACGGCTTGAATGCCAACACAACACAAGGGAAAACAAAAGCCGCATTATTAGCCTTTCATTTTTGTGTGAGAAAAACATTTGTGAGTTGCACAAGTTAAGAAGGCTGCTCCGTTGCGTGCTGCCTAGTGTTGGAGCCGATCACTGAGCCGCAAGGCATCCAAACCAGGTTTCCTTTGGAAGCGAGCAGGTGGCTTGGTGCACCACAACTCAAACTGATGTTTAGGAGGGCGCTGCGACAATGCAAAGAACCAACATCCCTTAAAACAGGAGTTAGACATTTCGAGTTGTTTCTTCTAGTGTGTGCGGTGTGCTTTGCGCGGCACACATCACAAACGGTCTTTCATGGCAAAACCCGGTCTTCTAATGGCTTGAAACAGTGTGCCATGCGCAGTTCACCGCATGTTCAGGTAATGTCACTCTACTTTCACGACAGTAGAGTCCAAGAAGGTATAAGTTCAATGAGCAAATATTGTCGCAACAAATTGAGAAGGATAGCTTTGGCAGACGTTGTAGCAGCGCGATGGGAGTGATTCCGCATTTGTCCACAGCTCTGTGCCCTTGGGCCATGTGCCCAAAGTTGTTTCAATCTACAAACAACACAAGACACATCTTAATTAAGCATGATGTACAATATTTTGCAAATTCGGGTATGTTCTGTTTCACCATGCCTCCTAGATGATCAAGTTCACATGTTGCTTCAACGGTGGTTCCCTGGCTAATGCGACTCAGCGCAACATGTACCAGTTGCCCTTAAAGTTGATGTCCTGAAGCAAGCATACAGCCAAAGGGTCCAGTCTTTATATGATAGCAGGCAAGCTTGCAACACCTTCTATTCTGCGAACAGTAGCTGTCACTAGCAATTGAATGGTCGTTCCGTAAGCTCAGTATTCTGCGAACAATAGCTGCCACTGGCAATTGAATTGTCGTTCCGCAACGTCCACCTAGGATTAAACATTGCACCTGGAATAAAGACAAACAGGTGGCCCCCAAAAAAATGCACCTGGAATAAAGACAAGCACCCACCACCCCCGCCTAAATGTTCTGAACGAAAAGTATAAGGAACATGACAAAATGGAACAAGAACAGAAAGAAGAGGAGAGGTAGCCAAGCCAACACCTGGTCCTTAGATCTTTGGTACCTTGTTCTTCAGCTCCCCAAAAATCAAACTGTCCAGCTGCCCAAGAAGTCATGGTTTCTTACATGTCTCTTGTTTAAAAACTGCCCGCAATCAAACCTTGCAAAGGGGGTGAGTAGTACTTCAGGCCCCCAAACTTGAGCCCAAGACTTTATTTCAGGGGCCCCTACAATAAAGTCTTGTTGTCTGGCCCCTGCAAATATACAACTAGCCCAGCGTAACTACCTATGAAGCTTCGGGCTTTGTTGTTAGATTTGGGCCTGCCTCCCAAAATCAAGAATGTCCAGCTTCCCCAAGCTCTTGTTTTCTTGCATGTCTCTTGTATAAAAACTGCCTACAACCAAACCCACAAACAACCTAGTACTTCAGAAACTTCACCCCCAAATTGACATTATTTCAACGGCCTCTGAAATAATGTCTTGTTGCCTGCCCGCGGCTGCCCGCGTCCAAACAAGTATCAAAAGAAACCTCCAGCAATACAAAATCAAATGGAAACTAAGTTCCAGATCTCAAAAGGAAGCTCCAGCAATGCAAAATCAAATAGCAACTCAATTCCAAATCTCAAAAGGAAGCTCCAATGCTAAATCAAATGGAAACTCAATTCCAGATCTCAAAAGGAAGCTCCAGCAAGGCTAAATCACATGGAAACTCAATTCCAAATCTCAAAAGGAAGCTCCAGGAATGCTAAATCAAATGGAAACTCAATTCCAAATCTCAAAAGGAAGCTCCAGCAATACTAAGTCAAATGGAAACTCAATTCCAAATCTCTAAATCATATGGAAACTCCATTCCAAATCTCAAAAGGAAGCTCCAGCAATACTAAGTCAAATGGAAACTCAATTCCAAATCTCTAAATCAATCAGAAACTCAAATACAAATCTCAAAAGGAAGCTCCAGCAATACTAAATCAAATGGAAATTCAAGTCTATTTACCAATACTAAAGCAAATGGAAGCAACATTGAACGGGATCTCCAGAGATTATTCTAGGCACCCCCTTTGTTGGGGTGTGGGAGGGCCCCCCCTTTACTAATCCCAGGTGGACATTACTCCGAACAAAGACCATTTACAGGACATTGCTCCGAACATAGTTCGGATAGGTGGACAGGGTCCGGGCGGGCGGACGCGTCCGGACGCGTCCGGACGAGAAAAACATACCAAAAAAACAGTTTCTGTCCAAAACACCTTTTTTGTTTTGGGCGTCCAGCGGGGCGTCCGAAAAGGCGTATTTAGGCGTCCAAAAGGCGTATTTAAGCGTCCGTCCCGGACTTCCTTTTGAGAGCTAGAGCTTCCTTTTGAGATCTGGAATGGAGTTTCGATTTGATTTAGTATTGCTGCAGCTTCCTTTTGAGATTTGGAATGGAGTTTCTATGATTTAGAGATTCGGAATTGAGTTTCCATTTGACTTAGTATTGCTGGAGCTTCCTTTTGAGATTTGGAATTGAGTTTCCATTTGATTTAGCATTCCTGGAGCTTCCTTTTGAGATTTGGAATTGAGTTTCCATTTGATTTAGCCTTGCTGGAGCTTCCTTTTGAGATCTGGAATTGAGTTTCCATGTGATTTAGCATTGGAGCTTCCTTTTGAGATTTGGAACTGAGTTTCCATTTGATTTAGCATTGGAGCTTCCTTTTGCGATTTGGCATGGCGTTGCTATTTGATTTTGCATTGCTGGAGCTTCCTTTTGAGATCTGGAACTTAGTTTCCATTTGATTTTGTAGTGCTGGAGCTTCCTCTTGATATTTTGTTGGACGCGGGCAGCCGCGGGCAGGCAACAAGACATTATTTCAGAGGCCGTTGAAATAATGTCAATTTGGGGGTGAAGTTTCTGAAGTACTAGGTTGTTTGTGGGTTTGGTTGTAGGCAGTTTTTATACAAGAGACATGCAAGAAAACAAGAGCTTGGGGAAGCTGGACATTCTTGATTTTGGGAGGCAGGCCCAAATCTAACAACAAAGCCCGAAGCTTCATAGGTAGTTACGCTGGGCTAGTTGTATATTTGCAGGGGCCAGACAACAAGACTTTATTGTAGGGGCCCCTGAAATAAAGTCTTGGGCTCAAGTTTGGGGGCCTGAAGTACTACTCACCCCCTTTGCAAGGTTTGATTGCGGGCAGTTTTTAAACAAGAGACATGTAAGAAACCATGACTTCTTGGGCAGCTGGACAGTTTGATTTTTGGGGAGCTGAAGAACAAGGTACCAAAGATCTAAGGACCAGGTGTTGGCTTGGCTACCTCTCCTCTTCTTTCTCTGTTTGTTCCATTTTGTCATGTTCCTTATACTTTTCGTTTAGAAAATTTGGGCGGGGGTGGCGGGTGCTTGTCTTTATTCCAGGTGCATTTTTTGGGGAGCCACCCATTTGTCTTTATTCCAGGTGCAATGTTTAATCCTAGGTGGACGTTACGGAACGGCCATGCAATTTCTAGTGACAGCTACTGTTCGAAGAATCCTGTAGCATGCCTTGCAAGCTTGCCTGTTATCATATAAATACTGGACCCTTTGGCTGTAACAGTGAGGGTCTTGGGGCAGTTTAGCGCTGTGAGCAAAGCTTAAAAGCAATATGCTTGCTTCACGGCATCAACTTTAAGGGCAACTGGTACATGTTGCGCTGAGTCGCAATAGCCAGAGAACCACCGTTGAAGGAACATGTGAACTTGATCATCTAGGAGGCATGGTGAAACTGAACATACCCGAATTTGCAAAGTATTGTATATCATGCTCAATTAAAATGTTTCTTGTGCTGTTTGTAGATTGAAGCAATTTTGGGCACATGGCTCAAAGGCACAGAGCTGTGGACAAATACGGAATCACTCCCATCGCGCTGCTACAACATCTGCCAAAGCTATCCTTCTCAATTTGTTGCGACAATATTTGTTCATTGAACTTATACCTTCTTGGACTCTACTGCCGTGAAAGTAGAGTGACATTACCTGAACATGCGGTGAACTGCGCATGACACACTGTTTCAAGCCACTAGAAGACCGGGTTTTGCCATGAAAGACCGTTTGTGATGTGTGCCGCGCAAAGCACACCGCACACACTAGAAGAAACAACTCGACATGTCTAACTCCTGTTTAAGTGATGTTGGTTCTTTGCATTGTCGCAGCGCCCTTCTAAACATCAGTTTGAGTTGTGGTGCACCAAGCCACCTGCTCGCTTCCAAAGGAAACACCTGACTTGGATGCTTTGCGACTCAGTGATCGGCTCCAATGCTAAGCAACACGCAACGGGGCAGCCTTCTCAACTTGTGCGACTCACAAATGTTTGTCTCACACATAAATGCAAGGCTAATAACGCGGCTTTTGTTTTCCCTTGTGTTGTGTTGGCATTCAAGCCGTTTGGGCCAAGGTCAAATTCTGTTTGATGATTTATTTCATTCCAACATCAAAGGCATTGAGCAGCTGAGCTGAACCAGGAGGCTTTACATTGGGTGATAGCAAGGTCCGCGCCGCTGCTTGAATTGGCACTTGCATCGTTCAAGCAAGCCCGAACAGCAACGCCCCAAAGAACACCGCTTATCGTGACAACACCGTTCAACAAATCCGCTGATGGACTTTCAGGGCTTTACTTGGCACAAAACCAAAAAAAGGTGTTTTGTTCAAGAAAAGGTGTTTCGACAAAGAATGCCATTCTTTACATTTTGCCCCAAAAATTTGGGGTGGTTTGAGACTCCAGGTACCCGATTTTTGTTCTGTAGTCCATTTAGTAGGGGGACCCTCCCCCAAAAAAGAAACGGTAAAAGGGCACTACTGAGGGACCTAGGCCATCAGCACGGAGAGAAGGTCAGATCGACAGAGCTCCTCCAACTCCTCACAGTACTCGTCCTCCACGTTGCACAGCGACTCCGACGGCTCCGGGTCAGCGGGGGCCGCTGTCCGTTGGGACCGCGCCTCAGAACTAATGGCCGCTTGGAGCCGAAGATTGCTCCGACAAACGCCATGGTTGGTGACAGTCTGAAAATATCTCGCCTTTTTGTCAGAATGGGTGAGTTTTAACTTGGGTCCACCAAAACATGTAGGTGGGGATTCATGTCCACCACCACTTTTGTGGTTCCAACTCTTAACATTCACTGCCAAATGAAGGAAAGAGGTAACGTCCAAGAGGTAAGCTAAGTCTGCGGTCTGTTGTGTTGCCCAACAGGGTGCCTTTTGAGCCGGTGCAGGTTGCCAGGCTTCAGCTCAAAAAATGCCCATGCGCTTCTTTAGGCAAAAGATCTGTGCTTACCTGGTGTTTTGGGTCTGAGAAGCTTGGTTGAATGCTAAGGCGACCATGGCCTTGCTTGAGCTGACCACATTCTCCTGCTCGGGTTTGGACCCTGAAACGGGCGATATTGAAAGGAAGGCAAAAGCAAACCAGAGCCATTTCTGAGCAGCTCTAAAATGGCTTTGGCTCAAGCCTCACTATCCCCAAAAAAATGTAGTAGACAGTCCTCTTAAACTCATCCATGGGATCGGTGGGCTGCTTCAGGGTTCAGTGTGCTCCTGCTGCCGGCTGCTTTGGGACAAGATTGGCATAATAGTAGCTGCAGATTAATCCGGAGGACTGTACCAGTCAGTGCGTCCCCTTTCGGTGAGGAAATGATTTATTTTGGGGTGCCAGGGCTCTGATTAGTAGGGTCTCTTTTAGGGGGAACCCCCCCCCCCGAAAACAAAGTTTTGGTGTTGGCTCTCCTTTAAAGCCACCAAAAACACTCACCCGATAGTAGGGTCCTCTGGATTCCTTTCAAGTGGACATTACCAAGCAAGCTGCGCTTTTGATGGCACCCATGCGAGGCGGGGACCCGAAATCCGACACCAGCACAGCTGCGGTTCTTCCAGTATGGCCCGGCTATAAAGGCTTACATAGGTCTTGCAATAACCTCATGAACCTGGGTCCATAAGACCACCTAAAATGGCCAATCTGGCGTTTGGGCGCTGCTCCTTGTTGGTTGCTCCACCTAGTCTTCAACGGAAAACCCTGCCAAGGCCTGAGGTCCATTTATTACGGCATGTTCCTTTTTGCGGAAGGAGAAGGAGAGAGAGAAGGAGAAGGAGAATGACAAGGAGAAGGAGAAGGAGAAGGACACATGTGGTCAAAACTCCCAAGATGAGTGTGTCATGGTCATGGCTCCTCCACTGACTCCAACTCCCTGTGCCCAAGGCGCTGCCAGGCTTTCAAAAACCAAGCAAAACTGGCTGGTTGCCCATGATAATTGCGATCTCAATCAATGTGTACAGTGGATTGAAAAACGAACCCTGGTAAGGGTCTGAATTGAGAAACGCCTTGCCGACCTCCAGTAAATTGAAAATGACTCAGAACAAAAGAAGTGGAGGACTATATCACATACCAAGAACAGTGGCGTGACGACGCGACGATATCAAAGGTTGCCTGGGTGAATGAGGTAGGAAAGCATCAACCACAAAGATTGATCCACAAGATGTGGGATGTTGTTTTTCGCTGCCTTCAATGATTCTTCCACACACATGCAAAGCTCAGGGTCCCCGGCTACTGCCAACTTCGGACTAATCCGAAGGACTATGCTAATCAGGGTAGGTTCCTCAGAGAAATGTGTGGCCCTCGCTAAAATCCCAAGTTGACCTTCTCACCGGATCGCACCCCGCTCTAAAAAAAGGCCTTCGATTCACTTTTCCACCAACCGGACAGGCCCATCACGGCGCCCGTAAAGCCTGGTGAATTCGCAGAAGCGGCCGCTGCTGAGTTGACCGGCCCGAAAAAGTGCTTGACAACTGTTGAGCCGTGGACTAGTGCTCGCGTCAGCGCCGCTCCCGCAAGTTGTCTGAAACCATACAGGGCCCGTTGGCAGGCTCAGGAAGCTTCAGCGAGCTTTACCAAGGCTTCCTCGCCGTCAAAGATGTCCCCCGTGTGGTCTCAAAGTTGGAAAGGCCCCACCAGCTTTGGGCAGAATCGATAAGTCGCGTTGGGTCATTGTCCCGTCGCGTCGAATTCAATCCCGGCAGAGCGGTTGCTGCGAAACCATGTTGGGTACTTTCAAAAGTTCTTTTTTGAGAGGGTGCCCTCCAACACCAACCGTGGCTATGACTATCCAGAGAGTTGCTGGTCAGCCAGGGGCTCTTAATCAACCAGAAAAGTTATGTTTAAACAAGCTCCTTTTGCTTCTGAGGTGCGCTGCTTTCCAGAAATTGCGAGAGCCCAACCCTGGCCCTTTTTAGAACGTGTTTGAAACACCCGGTGTCCCTTTAAAGGGAGCCCAAGGATCATGTTGCCCAAATCTTGCTCCAGTCGTGACATGGGAAAGGTCGTATGTCTCAACTGTACCCATGCCACTTTATCTCAGACCCATTCACCTCAAATAGGTCATCATTCAGTGTCACCCATGTCTCTCATATTTTTGAGAGGCCTTCCGCCCTCATGGTCCTCTTTAGTGCCTTTTTGGCACTTTTCTATCAGCTAAAAAGAATACACTTGGCTCGCTTGTTCCAATCACTGGCCCCGTTACTTGTCAAAGCAAGAGAAACTGCTGCTAGCAAGCCTTTTGATTTCGTGAAAAGAGCAATTTATCCAACAAAACTGGGTATGTGTGTGTTTTTGAAGGGTCTCGTTTCCGGTTGGTTTAACGGGAGACCCAAAGGAAACTTGACATGGTTGGGGTTCCGCTATTTTGAGACCCCAACTCAACATCGATTTCTTCCTGGTTCTTTTTGGTACCCTTTTGGGACCTCCTCTGTTCAAAATGGGTTAGGTTGTTGCCAATCCGATTTCAATCCCGGATTAGGAGCCAACTTCCCGGATGTCAGGGGACCAGTTCCTTGCGAAACCCAAACACTGATCTTGCGGATTGCCTTTGAACAACCCAGCCATCATCCAGCAGAAAGCATCCAACCGGTCTTCTAGAGTCATGCGAGCAGCGCCCAAAACCCATTAACTGTTGGCTCTACTAAACTAGAATGGGTATAAAGGTTGATATAGGCCTTGCTATAACCACCATAAGACCAGGAAGTCGAACTACACTTTTGGCTCCACTAAACTAAAATGGGGATTAAGGTTGAAAAAGGGCCTTGCTATCACCAAGTCGACCTACCCACCATGGCCGTCGTGGGAGGGTGTTGGGCGCGAGACGTTTCCCTCAGGTGTGCAGCGGCGTGGGCGCCGGCTCTGGGCACAGCGCGCCGGGGCAGCCGACTTGGCCCGCAGAGTAGCAGCCCTGGTTCTGCGGGCAGAAGCGGTTCGTGGCGCCTCGGCACCGCCGAAACTCGAAACGGTGGGGAACCCCAAGGGACCAGCTTGTTCTCTGGATGTTTTGATATATTTAAAAAAAAAAAAAAAAAGAAAACAAAAAAAAAAAAAACGCTCCACTTGGAAACCATGGGATGGTTCATTGGTATTTAGAGAAAAGTCGTTCCAGAGTTTCTTAGGTGAAGGAATTTGTCCATCCACGGTATATATGGAACACAAAGGCCGCGGGACACCCCAGTCAAGGGTCAAAAGGGTGCCTCTGGCCTGAGCATCGACATGTGCTTGAAACAACCTTTATACTAAAGTAGGCCATGCTGAAGGGGGAATCCCCTTGCGCAGCAATGTCCATGTTGTTTCTCTATCTTTTTGATTCTGTATTTGTTCTGCCGCAAAAATATGTCCTAGGTGATGTTTTCAAGATTAGCCCTGTGTATCTGCATTTACTTTGCGTGGTTTGCCCATATTCCCGTGTTTGCACACGTGTCCTATGGTATATACATATTGCTGATCTTTTGGCATTGTCTTGCCTTGTTGTATACCATTCCTGTGCTTAAATACTTCTGTAGGTTTTTCCTGCCTTGGGTATCCGTTTGAAGCAAATGTCGACGCGAATAGAGGTGGCCCCTTGTTTCGCAGACAAGGGAAGCACAAGATCCTACTAGGCAGCATATATCTCAACCTGAAGTTATTCCCAGCCTGCAGGAATGGCACATTGCTGTGAAATGAGCAAGGTCCATCCGTGTACATGTACCGTGGTTGTTCTGTGTGCAAAACAGTCGTCCGACTCAATTTAAGAAACAAAAAAATCGGGGGCAAACACCAAAAAGGAACAGAACCAGATCATGAGGTGGCACACCCATCTGGTCCCCGCTTTCTGAAAAAAACGTCCAAAAAACTTGGGGGTTCTGAAAAAAACGTCCAGAAACTTGGGATAGGAACATGAGACATCGAGTGAGGCCCCCCCTCCCTCCCCCTCCCCCCCACTTCCTCAGCGGGACTTCTCTTTTGGAAGCTTCAGCACCCCTCTTCAACTTACAACCAGCTACGAACGAATCATCATGTGAGTTTGCTTGGAGCAATAGATGGGACCACTTGAAAAGGACTATACTGCTACAACTTGGGATTCTTCCATACAGCGGTGGTCGGAAGATCAGAGGGGGCTGAAAGGAAAATTACAATCCATGACATTCAAAGTAGTGTCTCAAAGAAGGGAACCTCCAAAATGGCTGGTTTGCCTTCGCTGTTCATATAACCCCCCTTTGAACCCTCAAAGATGACACCCATGTGTGGCTTGACCCCATCCCGACGTCGCAGCCGAGACACACATGGTGCAGCACGGGCCGTTGTCTGTCTTCGGGCAGAAAGTGCTGTCTGCCTCAGCCGAAAGCCAGACGAAAACCCACCCCCACGAAAAGGTGTGTACACTCAGAACATCGAACCAAAAAAACTAATTGAAAGGAACCTGCTTTTGGAGAAAAACAACTTTTGGGTTGCGCACCTTCTCCGTGTCCGCTGCATTTCTCCGCAACTATGGTTGGCAAGGACGGATCATGCACCATTCCCAGAATATCTGTTTGCGTCCGTTTGTTTGAAGCTCGGTTTTTAAAGGGAAAACACTGAACGAGAAGTTGAGACAAACGACACAGATTCCAGATTCCAGCTCTTCGAACCTCCAATGGCCACGAAGGGAAAACAAAAGCCAATTTTTTGGTTGGGGGGGTAATAGAGCCTCTGCCTGAGCAGAAGCATCACACTATGTTTCCCGCATGTTGGGAGGCCTTGGCTTTCCCTCAATCAAGTCCCCCCCTTTGACGGGCCGGACAAAAATGCATCACTTCCCGCGCCTTCGCATCCGCAGAGGCCACGCCGGGAACCGCCGGCATCGCCGGCGCTGGTGCGGGTGGAGGCACCGGCGCCGGCAGCTCGTCTGGAAGCGGCTCTGGAAGCACAAGCTCCACTTTCCTCGAGTTTCGGCGCGCAGCTTTGGCGAGAAACGGAGCTGCTTTTTGGCTGCCCGTCTTGTCGTCTCAAACTCCGGGACAGGAAAATAGGAGTGATCTTTGCACCGAAAGAATTCGATAGAGGCAAAAAGAAGTCCAAAACAAAACATGCACCAAGAAAACCTCAAAGTGAGGCCTCCCCCCTCCCGCCCCCCACCCCCCTGAGTCCAAGAGTCAAGAGCTGGTGGTCTGAGGGGTAGCCCTGCTCCGTGTTGCTGGCACACATTTGCACGCCCTTGCCTCGAGTCGCCGTTTTCTTGAGGGAAAGCAAAAGGTATGAGTTCTGATTCTGTCTCCTACTTGGTCTACCCAAAGATATGTGAAATAGTTCTCTGTCTAAGATAGAAAATGGCTTGGCAAACACACGGTTCTCAAAGTTGTGGACCCCCGTTTTCGGTTTGCAGCAACCAAAAGGAAACCAAGCAAAGGGGTCCTTCATTTTGAAAAACAGGCCCTTTGTTGTTCTGCCTTACCGTTTTGTTGAGGGTCATTGCGGCTGAGAAAGGGCTCAACAAGGGGGGCTTGCACCATGGGTTGGAACCCGCAATTTAAAATGGGGCATCATGTTCCTTTGCTTTTGCTTTGCAAATTATGGTCAAAAGGGTGCCGACAAAAAAGTACCCACGTGGCAACCAAAAAACATCAAGCTGATTGGATAAGCTCTCTTTGGTCTGCCTTAGAAGTCCATGGTCAAGCAAACTCATCTTGTTAGCAAACTCCTTTGGGCTTCTCTGTAGAGAAATCCATATGCCCCGTTTGGTTTTAAAGGGAGACCAACAGGACAACCCACCGCCTGGGGGGTCGGATTCCTATTTTGAGACATACCCGGCTTTCCTTGGGGTTCCCTTCGAAGCAAACCAGAAGGAAAGAGTTCATACGGGTACGTCTTCCTTTTCGAGCGTGACCCTGTTGGAGCAGTTTTATGGGGAAACCAAAAGGAAACCAGCCACTTTGTGGGTTCCCCTATTTTGAGCCAAACCCCCTGTATGAATTGTACGTATTTACATATGTATGTATATATATATATATATATATATATGTGTATCTATTCGCCAGGCGCCTTGCGAGGAGATCCGAGCTCAAAAGGTACTGGCTCTTGATTCTTGGGACCACCCTCCTTTTGGGACCGGGCTCAAAGCAAGGGGTTTGGTCAACGGGCGAGACTCCTTGTGTCAGTTGACTTCGGATTAATCCGGAGCACCAGCCCGGGAATGATCTGTTTGGGCATCTGACTAGTGGGGTCCTCCGGATTCATTCGGTTATGTGGTCAATACTTCCTTCTAGTGCTTTCCGTTCAAATGCCTAAAAGGGGCGAAAGGACGACCCTGTAATCTCCGACCTTTGCAAATCCGTTGGACATCCCCCTGTTCTACACCGCCGCATGATCTTCCCAAATGGCGATTTGGAGCCCAGTGCTTGGGAGGATAGAGGTGGTTTCCCATTTACCCTCTACAAAGACTACAGCTTCAAATCCACCAATCCAAATCACCAAGTAGGGGTTACCTCACTGGTGTGTTAGAAACCAACAACGACTAGCATGGTGGACTTGCGCACCTCCTTGTTGCCCACACACACACACACAAACACACGCACACCTCCGGCCCCAGAACCAAGATGTCTTTTTTCGAGTTCCCTACGAAGCAAGTCCAAAAGCAGGCCCAGCTGGGTGCACCGAGGACAGCTTAGGGCCAGGCTGGTGAGCACATGATCAGCGCCCCCGAAGGACAAATCCGTCCCCGCGATGTCAAACTCCTCGTTCAGCCTGCGACTCCGAGGACTCCGCGGAAAAACCCTGCCGACCCGACTCGGTACTTCCTATGTTTGGGAGGTGGAAAAATGTGGCCCACCAAGGTGCCGCTTTTGGGGCGGTCCGATTAACGCACCTTGGGAGTTCAATTTGGGCGCAAACGGCGGCGAGAAACCGGCGCGCGAGGCCTTCAGGGGCTCTAAGGCCATAGGGGTCATATACAACTGCCCTCGCTCCGAATAGAAGTAGCCCCAACACCAATCAGATTTCTGGGTTAGACCTCGGATCTGAAAATGCTGGGATTTTGAAACTCAAACATCGTATGCTTGGCCAGCGAAGCTCGCCATGCATTTGCAGGATCTCAGCCTGAAACAATTTGCGGTAAGCTCGGCAAGCTTCGTTTTGATCTCTCCCATTTACTTTGTCTGCGCGCGCCGGCTCGCCTCGCCAGCGTGGGCTCCAGGCTGGCGCAGTTGAAGTCTCCGGTGAAGACCACTTGGTCCCCCGCCTTCTTCGCCCCCTCCACGGCCTGCCACCCTCCCAATTCATGGGCCAGAACCCCGGTTAGGTTTCAGTGAACATCCCAATCCAGCCACTAGAATAGGTTCTAAAGTGGGTGGTACACCCAAAATGGTACCATTGGTTTTGAACCATGGCCACATGGAACCTCACGTTTTAAGGGGATTTCCAAACCAGAGCCCCCCCTTTAAACGGACCCCGGACGGCAGGTTCCATGTGAAACAGGTGGGAGGGCAATCCACATGAAAATTTGCCACCAGCTGGGCGCAACCATGGTTCCTAACCACTAAACTCCTTGGTCCTGCTGGTGGAAAGCCAAAGCTATAGTGCAAAAGACCTGTGAAGGAACATCCCAGTGTGGCAGGCGACCAAAATGAGTTGAAACAGGATGTTTGGATTTCGCACGTGTTAAAGGAACCCCACAAATTGTAGTGTTCCTTGTTTTCCAAAAGGATACCCTCAAGAAAAACACACACTCATGTTGAAACCGGCACGTGGCCCACTCAATGAGGTCAGCTCGCCCTCCGCGCTTTCATGCAGGCTCCCTTTCCGAACGCACCTGGAAAACAGACTGTGTTCCTTCGGTGATTCCATTCGCAGGTACACAAGGCAAAACCACCCTTTATCCGATCCACCCAAAACGGAATGGAAAATGGCGAAGGATTAGCCTGACGTGCCCTGCCTGTCCACTGGTAGTGGTTGGGATTGGTGGATTATATTTTGTTTTTAAGCTCTGGTGCTTGCGGCCAACCATTTGGAACTCCTCCAGAGCAATATCCAAATCAAGAGAGAAGCAGAAATCGCCAGACTTAATAGACCTGCTTGCTTGGCCTTTTCGGGTTTACATTTTGGGTCATGAAGAGAGTCCAACATCATGGGAACCCTCCTCCCAAACCCTCTCCAGCTGCCCCCGTTCACACGAGACCGTGAGATTCGGGGCCGTGTCCCCGGGCGTGTGCGGCCCGGGTCCCGATGTTGCATGTGCCCCCACTCCCATGGATCGTTGAGCCGCGTGAACCACCTGGAACATACGGGCCGCGATCAGCCGGGAGGTCACATCCGTGTAGTGGTGGTTGTTGGGGGCGAAGCCCAACTCCCCCGGCGCCGTCTCCCTTGCCCGGTCGGGCGAGTCCCACCGGGTCGCGAGGTCCTCCATCGAGACAAAACCCTCATCCGACAGCGTCGCTTGGATGAACCACGGGATGCCCTTGAGGACCATGAGGTTCCTGGCGGTCTTGTGGAGCTTGGCCACTGCGTCCGCATACACTCCGGGAATCTCCTGTGGTGGTGCCACCAACTCATCCGGCGGCACCGCCATGGTGTGGGTGGGCGGGATTTCAGATTACAAGACAGAAGGTCAGAGTCCACTTGAGCCAAAATGGTGGCCCAAGTGGACACTTATGAAGAGTCAAGACAAGCGACCACCTGCGGTTAACGCTTTAGCCCAGACTCTTCAAAGCACCACTCTGGTGCTACTGAGGCCTTATTCGCAAAACGGTGCCTCCTTTTTGCCGTATAAGGGTTAGTGCCAAAATGGGAGGATTGCCCAGCTCCACTGGGCAGCTCCCCTCAGCAGCTGATGGGAGTAGGATTGATGCCATTCCCAACGGACGGATCGCATCAGCTGCCAATACCAACGGACGAGCTGGTCGTTGGGGAGGTCCTCCTTCCCCGTATGCCGTGGGGTCCCGCTGTCGCATCTCAGGGCCCTCGGCACCTGTGCGTGCAACTGTCCTGCTGCGGGCCCTGGGGGGTGCCTGGGAGGGCGTCTCAGGGCCCTCGGCACCTGCGCCCTCTCCCCCTGCCGTCTTGCCTTGAGGAACGGGGGGGAAGAGTGTCAGGGCCCTCGGCACCTGCTCTATCCACCCCTCACTCAATTTCCGGGAGGACGATCGCCTCCTTGTCCGACTGAGTGTCCACGCTCTCGTCGGTGTCCGAGGAGAGGGAGATGGAGGCCTCGGAGTCCTGTGCTGCATAGGGCTCCACGGCCATCCACGTGTTCGGGAAGGTGAAATGCCGGAAGCATCTGGTGCATCCCAGGTACATCTCCGGCTCCGCATGGAAATCCTGCTCTGCCAGCTCCGAAATCTTGAGCGGCCCCGGCCTCCAGCCGCACCCCACTGTGACTCCATCCGTGTCCAGTATGTGCATGCTGTAGGCTTTGGTGGGACCCTTTCGGGCCGTGGTGGCAATCACCGTCAGTGGACCCCGAGGCGGGGGCACCTCATCTGCAGCCACCTTGGTGATGGCCGGCTTGTCGGCGGGGATCACATCCCAGCTGGCATTTGAGGGCGGTGTGTCCGGGACTTCCTTGAACAAGGCCTTCGGTGATGCAGGGCACTCCACCTTGTCCTCCCAGTCCTCATGTCCGAGGTCGACTCGGACCGCCCTTCCAGATGGTGGATCCCCTTGGAGAGGTGGTGGAAGAGATTCAGGGCCTCGGAGGAGTTTCGCGAGATGGACTACCTGATCCCCACGATCAACAAGGACAGGACGGGTTTCATCCCCCGCCCAGGCACCCCAGACAGGTCCCTGAGGTGGCTCAAAGACGCCTTGGGGAAGCAGGGCGCGCCAGCCAAGGATGTGGCTGAACTTTCGTGGTACTCCTTCCGGGTCTTCATGCCGTATTCCAGGCGCACATACCGAGGGACCAACGCCAGTACCTGGGAAACTGGTTCAAGGAGTCCACGGCGGACGTCTACACCCGAGAGAAGCGACACGTGGTGTGCTCCATCTGGGACCAGGTTCTCGACCGGGTTCCGTTTGATGGCCACTGCCGACGTGGTCTTTGTCTGCCAGGCTAGCAGCTCCAGGGTGTTGCTCGTGGACCTGACCGTCTGCGGCGAGGTGTGCTGCACGTCGTTGAAGCGCGCACTGCAGGCCAGGTTGAACCTGGCCATCGCCATAATGTACCTGTCTACTGCTTTGGTCAATTCAGGGACCCGGTTCTCCGAGGGGGCCCCTTCTGCCCCTTGTTCCAGGGCCCAAACAATCGCCCGGGTCGGAACCACCGCTTTGCGCTGTGGCTTGACCTGGGTGTCCACCAGCGTCTCTTGGATGGCTTTCCGCTTTGCCAGGAGCTGTTTGTGTTCGTCAACGTTGAGCATGCCGAGTTTAATGGAGAGCCACTTTAAAGTGCCCCACCACTTCTGGAGCTTCGCCGGGGTGACCTCCAGCGTGACCGCCTGGTTCATGAGGTGCCGGACGTCACCGGCCGTCCAGGGGAGGTTCTGGAAGCCGATCTTGCGCATGCCCTCATAGGCCAAGCAATGTGCTCGGATGGTCCGGAACCGGGCATCTCCAAATAGGTGGCCGAACTCCTCCAGCTCCCTGGCCCCCATCACCTGGTGCATGTAGGGGATCTGGTGGCGGAAAGGAATGAAGTAGCCCAGGAGGCGTTCCAGCCACCTGGCCCTCAAGTGCTGTTCCAACGCTCGTTGGGATGTCGGCAATTGGGTTTTGATCTTCCCTGGTTTCCAATGCCGCCACTTGTTGGCCACTGCCAGGACATCCGGGGCCTCAATCGATCCGGAGAGGATCCACTCCTCGCGGTCCCGGATGGCCTGCTCCATTTCCAGTGGAGAATAGGTGTGCGATTGTCTGGCGCCTGCCGCACGAAACAGAAGTTGTTGCAGGGTCTTAGTAGCGAGCTCCAAATCCGCCTCCTCCAGCGGTTGTGGTTGGGAGCCGAGTATCCTTGCGAGGATCAAGTTGTAGGTGTCCGAGGCCACCAGGACATGGTTGCCGTCAGGTGCCAGCCCCACGATTCGTGTCCACGGTCGCGGGTCAAAGACCACCGCATCCGGGTTGGCAACCTGGTCCTTTTTGACCCATTCCAGGCAGCACGCCACGAGGATTTCCCCGTCCGACTGCACTGGTGCAAATCCAAGGTCATGCAAAATCAACTGGAACGCGGTTGGTACCCCAAGGAAGGTCGTTCCAAACGGGGAGGGGAGGCGGGGCCTCCACATCATCGTGATCCACTCGAGCCAGGAGCCTAATTCCTAGGCGCAAACCCCAACCAAACAACAGGGGAGCCCCCAAAAACCCCGGAAAGCCCATCCCGAAACGGGGGAAAAAGGGGGGGGGGACCCAGGGAGCCGCCCCGGAAAGGGAAGAACCAAACAAGGGAGGGGAGCCAAGGCGCACCCCGGACCAGCCCAAGCGCGCCAATTTTTCTCGCCTGGTACAGGTCTAGGCCTGTGCTGTGCCCAGGGGGGGATATCAGCGCCCTCGGCAGCTGTCCCCCCCGGGGTGCGCTGCGAATCCGTTCCGGATGGCCGCAGTGCTGTATGATCATACGGCCCCCTTTGCAATGTCATCAATGCGCTTGAGCGCCGCCGCCTCCGGATTCCGGAGAATCAGCTCCCAGATGGCGTTTGAAACATGGCCGGTCTGGGTGATGTGGCTGAACCTAAACCGGGGGACTTTCTGGTCCACCACGGAGACATCCCGCAGCGGGGCAGAGGGCTCTACCCGGCGGTAGAACTCCAACCGCTCCTTGACCCAGCGGTTGTACAGGCCCTCCGGCGGCTCGTCCAGCACCAGCTGAAGGATGGCCTTGCCGGCCCGGATCTGGAGGAGGCGGGTGCCCCCTCCCCCGGCGCGCCAGTACCCCTTGCAGTACTTGCACATGTAGCCCCCCCGGGTCTCCCCTTTTGTCTTCGGGATGAGTTCCCACGGGGTGACGGAGCTCAGGACCAGGCCACACTCCATGTGCGCCCAGAAGACATGCTTCGTCTCCGCCGGATAGTTCTTCTTCCGGTAGTCCTTGCCCACCACGCCGTGGACGTTGTCCGATGTGATGGGGGGGTAAACGATCCCCTCATCGCCCTCTCCTCCCCTGGGGCGGATGTCAGGGCCATCGGCACCTGTCCGGCACCCAGGGGCGGAGGGGTCAAGGCCCATCAGCTTGATCATGTCGCTGGTGTAGCCGAGCTTGCGGTAGATGGAGGGGGCTACTGAGTCGGGGACTGCGCCGACCCACCACTGCTTCGTGTTGCAGCGCCAATTGACCTTCACCTCCGCCAGGGCCCCCGGGCCTCCAATGCGGTCCATGAGGGCCTTGTACACCTCTGGGAACTGCTGGAGACTCTCCACCGGGACAGATATGCGCTCATCACATACCGCCCGGAGGATCATCTGTTCCTTGGAGTCCGCCACGTCCTGGACCGGGAGCTGCATCACCTCCGCCGGGGTGTCCGTGAGGAAGGCCCGGGCCGCGAGGACCTTGCCCATGGCCCGGTAGACCAACCGCCACTCCGGTCCTGTCTGCGGAAACGGAAGGCCCTCCTCCTTCAGGAAGCACCGCGCGTCTTCCTTCAGGGTCTCCCAGCCCTCCAGGCGGATCTGATTCTGGGCCTTGTTCTTCGGGCCCCGCTGCCTAGGGCCCTGTAGCAGTGGCAGGGACTCCCAGACTCCCCAGAGCTGGCGCAGGGTGAAGCTGTGACCAAACATCCCCAGTAAGCCTGGAAGTGTCCAGGACGAGATCTGGCGCGCCCAGTGGAAGTCCTCATCCGGATCGTGGGGGGCCGCCCAGAAGATGGACGCAGGTCCTCGGGGTAGGGTCGGTCCCCCGCCTTAGCCTGCTGGTTCAACTCATCAACGGAGTACCTGGCCCATGGGAGTCCACCCACCTGGTGGTTCCTGGGATGCGTACCCCTCTCCAGCGCCTCCGGATTCACCTTGGTGAGGTTGTTGGCCCAGTCCGGGACGTGTACGGGGCCCGGTCGTCGGACCCAGCGGCCCGCAAAGATACGGACCTCTCCGACCCGTTTGCTCATCATCCAGCGCAGGACCGCGAGCTGCACCTCCGGGTCCTGGGTATCCAGGCCCCCTGGGGTGGCAGACGGCTTGTCAGGGCCCTCGGCACCTGAGCTCGTCGCGCCAGAGCCCGAGGCTGGGGGGATGGTGGGCTGCCTGTCAGGGCCCTCGGCACCTGGGCGCGCCGCACCAGAGCCCCCCGCCTTTGGAATGGGGATCCCCGCCAGATCCGGCAGATCTGCCAGGAGGGCCGCCGGAAAGGGGTTCCTACCCAGCGAGATGACCGCCTTGGCTTCGAGGTAAGAGTCCGTGAGGGACGTGAGGTCGTCCATGCTGAAATCCCTCCATGCCGTGGTCGGCTCAAAGACCCCCGTCTCAATGGCAACTCGGACCTGGTTAGGCCACGCACTGAATGGGGGCTTGATGGGCTCAGCATTCTGGTCTCGTGGGCGCCCTTCGCTTGTCTGGCCTGGTGCTTTGCCTTCGCCTCCTCCGCAGTGGTCTGGGCCTGGAGGAGCTCCGGTGTGGGCCTCCCCCAGTCCGCGCCCAGCTTATCCAGCAGTTTTTCCCGGAAAAGGTCCAAGTCCAAATTCTTGAGGAGTAGGCCCCCATCGCCTCCTCCATCAATGGCCCCTCCTTGAAGCTCGTGGAGGACCGCCGAGGATCGCTCCACCGCTGCCACCTGGTCTGCCTTCTTGGCCTCCTCCTGGGCAATGGTGGTGGCGTTGAGCCGGGTCTGGATTTTGAAAGCCTTCACCGCCGACGGGTGGAAGGCCCTGCATTCCTGGCCCTCTTCCTTGTCGCCCGGCAATGGAGGCCTCTCCCCCATTGGGGCCGTCAGGAAATCCTCGTCCAGCTCCATGGGGCAGTTTCTGATCACCGCCCGGACCGAGGAGGGGACAAAGTCCGAGAAGCTTGCCTGGTCCGGGTTCTCGCATGCCATCGGGTCGGTGGCCAGCTCGCTGACATCCACCGAGGCGCTGAGCTTGAGGTCGCGGGCCCGGTCCGTGTCAGGGCCATCGGCACCTGCGGACCGGGCCGCCGTCCAGACCGCATTGCCCTGGTCATCCACCGTCAACTGCCAGTGCGTGCCCGCCATCTCCAGGGTGGCCGAGTTGGTCGCCATGTCAATGGGCTCCGTCTTCTTGCCGCACCCCATACACTTCCTGGCGCCCTTCTTCACCCAGGGCATGGTGCAGCAGGGGCAGATCCAGGATGTGGGCTCCTTACCCAGGGGGCGGTTCTCCAGGCCCCCATACCCCAGGCCAGCGCGCTTGCCGACCTGCTGTCCCGGGGTGCTGAGCCGGGCCTCATGCTCATACTTCATCTTGGCGATGTAGAACGCCTCCACCACACGCTCCAGGCCCCCCTGCTTGAGTTGGGGGCCCTCAAAGCCTTCAGGAGCCGCTGGACGTCCTTGGCCTGCAGTCGGCGGAGCCTAGTGGCCGTGGTCGCATCAAAACACGGGAAGTCGCCCGCCATCTGGTCATCGCTGAATTGGTAAAGGCCCTCAGAGACTTTGAGGGCCTTGGTGAAGACGCTTCCCCCCGGCGGGGGGGCTGCGGGGTCCTCATCCTCCTCCGAGGACGCCTGCTCCCTGACCTTCGCCATCAGATCACGGCGTCTCTGCCACTTGGTGTCGGACATCGGGAGCTCCTCCTCGTCTTCCGCCAGGAGTTCTTCCATGGGAACATCCTTCTCCGGCGGGTCTAGGAGCTCCAGGAACGCCCCTGGGGGGCGTGTCAGGGCCTTCGGCACCTGCGCCACCCCAGGGGCTGAGTCTGCCATCAACTCGTCCTCTGCCTTGCGCTTGGCTGGGATGAGTGGGGCCTGCTCCAGCTCATCGGCGCTGGAGAAGAACCGCTCGTCAGGTGCCTGGGGGACCTCAGCAGCCAAGACGGTCCATCCTTCTTCCTCCTTCTTCACGAGGCTTGCCAGGTACTTCGCCATGGAGGCCTTTGCCTTCGCCTTGGCCTCTGCAACCGCGGCACCAGCGTAGGCGGGGGCGTACATGGCTTTGATAGGAGGGGAAAGAAAGATTTCAGATTACAAGACAGAAGGTCAGAGTCCACTTGAGCCAAAATGGTGGCCCAAGTGGACACTTATGAAGAGTCAAGACAAGCGACCACCTGCGGTTAACGCTTTAGCCCAGAGTGAGGGAAACCGCGATGTGATTTGCCCCCCCGAGGCCTTGAGGTAGTTCTCTGCCACGATGTGGTCGCCGCACTGTTTCAACGGCCCGTGCGTGTTGGCGAAAAAAATCGCCTCGTGCATCCCGCTCATTCCAAGCACAAACCTGTTGTAGACCTTTTGGTTGGGGGCCAAAAAGATTGGGGGTCGAAAAAGCGCGGAGTTTGGCACACTGGAACCAGGATCCATAAACTGACGGTTGATAAATACGAGGGGTGCCAATTTGGAGCGTGTAAATTCAATCATCTGGGGTCGAGATCAACTGGCTGAATTACAGTAATTCATCCAAAAAAAGATCCCCTGGACAGAGAACGTGTTCACCAAGAATAAACTAAGGATTTGATATTTACAACAATCAAGGTGCTCAACAAAATGCTGCCAGTTGTCCAACTCAACAGGTAGGTCAAGTAGGCAGCAGCCTCAAGAGGGGAAGAAATCTCATTGTAGTGTTTCCAGCAAGGACTTCCATCAGTCTTTCTGGGATTTGTCTTTGAACAAAAAGCACTGAAATGAGCAATGAGAAAAATCGTCTTAAACGGACCACCCAGCGGGCGAGCTTTCATAGCTTTCAGCTGGGGCAAACGCACGCCCGTCGAGGCTTGGGCGGTGTGGGTTGTGTGGTCCTTGAGGCGCACCCAGTTCAGGAAGCGGTCGCCCCATTTGTCCT